AAGCCAGCCACGCCCCTTGCCCCGCAACATGTTGACGATTTTTAAAAAATTCAGTATTGATTTATTTTCAGATTGGCCACCTGATCTCTGGATTTGACCATGAAAACTAATTTTAAAAAAATCCTGAGCTGTAGGAATGCAGTATTTCATGATCTGTGATCACTTCTTTTCTAATTCAAGTTTATGGGAGCCAGCAGCTAGTGGACGTAGTGATATTGCAGGTTTTTGACACTTCCAGATTGGCTTCATTTTTCGGGGCCGGTTGCTACGTCCATCTTTTATACAGTCTATGGTTAAATCTAAGCTAGCTTAAGGCACGAGGAGATCGTTTTCATGGAGGAAACAACAGTTTGTTGAGCCTGCTTCAGCCTGTTGTGTTACCGTGTGCTGAGCAGAATCAATCACAGAACTTATATATAACGTTATGTCACAGAGAAGAAGCTGCACCTCTCTTCACACCATGTGTTGTGTCTCACTTTTGGTGAAACCCCGATCAGTGATGTCACAGCAGATGCTTTGAGCTGGATTTGGCGCCTTTGTGCCACAATTTCATCTTTTTGCAGCTTTCAAGTGTTGGCAGAGAAAACACAGCCCGTTTTCATCGAGTTCAGCCGCTGCGACGTGTGCTTATTGGTCTGTATTGTTTATGGTGCTGGTGGCATTCTGTTTGTGCGCCACACCGTTGCATCTATTGAAGTTTGGATAAGCACCGTGTGTTGCTCTGAGTGGTGCTTTGATATCACATTCAAATGGTGGGGAAGCCACGCTCCACTATCTCACACCAGCACTGTGCCAGTTAGGCTTTAGAGTGCAACAACCTTCAAAGCTTTAGCTCATAGAAAGCAATTCAAGCAATGTTTTTTTTTCTGGTTCTGTGATTCACTGTGAGTCAGTGAAACAACTGTGTTGGATGGCTGGCAGGTGTGAATGTAAAAAAAAATAAAAAAACACAACATTAAATCTGAATCAGAGCTTTTAGCATCTTCTGGCTCAACCCTTTACAAACGCTGTTCAATCCAAGCTGCTCGCAGCAACCAACATATGCACTCATTACGAGCGAAACAGCTCTGATAAGCTACCTGCCTGGCGCCAAATGGGTGATTAACATATCTGAGTAACTACAGAGTTTTAGATTTGTGTTGATGGAAACCAAAAATCAACGATCTAAGAGGAGAGCGAGCCTCGGCTTCAACCTGTAGCCAGAAAAAACGGCTCCAAATGAAAGCTAATGTTGCATCTGGAGCTATAAAAGCCAGAAACATGACGGCGTCACCGCCACTTGTTAAAATGTTTTTATGCCCTCAAGTGGAAAAACATCCAACCAGGAAGGTTCATGAATAATGGAGCAAACGCCAACGTGCCGATGTGTGCGACACTCACACGCTGATCAGATAGGCTGTTGGGTTTATTTGTAGATTATGGAATATCTCTCAGACCCCCTGTGGTCATTTCTCTATGAAACTCTGAACGCCATTCTGCCATTTTCAGGTGTTTCCCACCAAGCTGAACGTATGATTGATGCTAAACATTAGCCTTTGTCTGGGACAGTTTGGGGCCCTGAAAGTGGATCAAGACAATCTGATGATGCTCTCATGGACTATCATGTTTCTTTGCTGCTTCTCATCCAGGAGATTCAGCTTCTCTGTCTGTATTTTTGTTTTTCTCTCCTGGACAAGTTGAGTTTTGTCTCATGTGTAGCTGCTTTTCTTTCCCAGGTCATATTCCACCATTAACACCCGTGACAGGTGGAAAACTTTGACATGAACCATCCACGTAGACGTTCAGGACCAAACAAACCAACCCATGACAACATTCCTAGCAGGAAAATGCACCCAGCTCGAGGAACACGACAAAGAGCCCAAGGCATTGACCAGAGCTTCAGACTCTCCAGATCCCAAACTGATGAAGCAGCTGAGGGACCCACCCCACAACCCAAGGAACCCAAAGGACCCAAAGGACCTGCTGCTGAGAGACTCCAGTGGACTCCCCAGACGTCCACCTCCAGAGCTGTATTGACGTAACATCAGGCAGACGGTTTTAATGTTCTGGCTGATCAAGTTTGTCCCCTTCATTGTACATTTTGTATTTTTTTTACAGACATTAAATTTACTGTCTGACCGTCCTTGAAGAGAGATTCGTCTTCCGGAAGTCTCCTCTTTTTTTTCCCCCATTAGGGGGTTTTTGGGGAGTTTTTGCTTATTAAAATTGAGGCTGAACAGACAGAGGGTCTCGAGCGCTGCACAGATTTTAAAATCCCTGGAGGCAAATTTGTGAACTTGGGCTATAAAATTAAGAAATGACTTGACAAGAAACTTCACCCGTACACCAGATGTCACCTTCCCTCTTGAGCCACATTCCTACTTTGTCAAATCACTGCCGTGCAGAGTTGAGCACACAAAAAAAAAGGTTTTACTTCTGGCTTTCAGTATTTCAGTGGCGAAGATTAAAGCACAATCCACACAACAGCGCCGAGTTTCAGGAAATTAGGTTAATAGAATAAACACTTCGGTTCAACCTTGAAACTCGCAGTGATTTAAATTTGTTCAAACGGGCTGTCGTTGATATCATAATCCTGATAGAAGTAGATTTTAAATATTAAATAAAATAAATAAATAATGAATCTACAGTGTATTGCAAATGTCTACTCACTATAGAGGAAAAGGCTGGCATTCTGGACGCCCAGTCGGTTTGAGGCCACGCAGGTGTAGTTCCCATAATCCTCCTCGGTGACATTGGCAATCATGAGAATGGTGGTGGTGCCAAGAATTTGGATGTTGATGCCCTGGGAATTGGACAGCCTGGAAGAGGAGACACAGACAGAAGTGAAACTGCAAAGTAAGGAAATTGTAAAGTTAGTGACATTTTCGGTAAAATAATAGAATAAAAAAAAGAGTCTGTGCAGGTAAACGTGAAGGAAAAAGCTCAATTAGGCAAAAGAGAATGCACAGTTTTTGCACAGTTTGCACACTGATAAATTAGTCATGACCTACTTCTAAAAATAGATCTGATTATCAGCTTTTCAGCAACATGACACTTTCCACCGTGTGCTGGCAGGATTCAGCTGTTTTCTGAGCGTGGCGTGACATCCCAGAGGTGCAGCAACGCGTATCTGTGAATCTCTTCACGACATCACACGCTATTAACGTGTTCATTTTGTCAGCCTTATGCTTTTTTTGTTTTTCTTCTCGTATTTCTTCAACAGGGATCTCAGTGAAAATCCTTTGTTCGTTTGCTGTTACTGTATGTGAGCAAACGTCTTTTCGATAGCCAATAACACTAATTATGTGGCTCAGCGAGTGATGCTTTCATGCCGGCGAGCACTTAGCAACAGCAGGGGTCAGTGTCAGGCCGGTGAACTCTCTGAGTGTAGGCGTTGTGATTGCTAAGAGGGGAGATAAGCCTTTTTCTCTTATTGGAACAAACCTTTTTCATTAATGGCTCCACACAACAACACTGCATTTAGCAGGAAGCAATCCTTGACCTTTTGGATTATGTGGCGAGCAAAGACAACAAGATGCAGTTCACCAGAGAGGCAACGCTGTCGTGGTCAGAGCTGTAAAAAAAAAAAGTCTGTTTTCGTTTAGGCCGGCAGAACAGAACAACTTGTAAACCCGTCACCTGGAACCGAGTGTAAACGTGAAACAAACTTTGCTCTGCAGACGTTTAATATACGGCGTGCATTTCTTCAGCTCAAATGTCATTGATCTCTTTTAATATAGAATTGGTTGTTTGCTTTGCTACCATCAACCAAAAAGGATCCCTTTACCCCCCTTTTGGGTGAATGATTGATTAGCATGCTGCCCGAGTCCCGCCCCGCACTTCTGGGACTCGTAACGACCATCAAACTTCTGACAATCAATTGTGTCAACCTTGAACCCCATTTGCAGCAAATTAATCAATACAATTTGCTGACTCAGACTGTATACCTCGCTGATGAACTGCTCCTTACATCATCGCAACTAAATAAAACTCTTTTAATAGCTCGGCACACATAATGGATTCGGCTTGTTCGGGGCTGATTGAGCCCTTTCATATCATGAATGAGGTGAAGTTCATTTAAGGCGCCTCAACTTAATCCTGCTTAAGTCTGGGTAATGTGGTAATCGGAATTTGAGCAGGGGAGCGAGGAGTTTGTGCTGACACACACTTGGCTGATAGGAAGTATTAACATAAAAAGGGAAACGCACATCATGGCGCAGCATATTTCGGCTGGCTGGGGAGTGGGGGGACGTGATAAAGTGCTGAGGTCCTTCCCGGAGGGACACCTTGGGAACAATGTGTGTTTGTGTGTGTGAAAGCGAGAGCGAGACCTAAGAGAGGGCAAGTGCACCGGCAGCGTCCCCACTCCATCTAAACGCAAAGCCCCTCCTCCAACGATAAGGCGAGCGGCAGATATATTCTCCAGCGTGTCTTCATGAGAAGTGACTGCACTATTAAAAAGGCCTGCCTGCCCACAGAGCGTGCTGAGAGACCCAGATAGTGCACCGCACCACCGAGAGCTGAGAGCAAACAGCTATTTTTACAATAGATTATAGTGCATGATTGTAATGCAGCAGCAGGGGAGTAAACTGACCTAAACAGGTCAAAAGAGACAGCGCTCTCTTTTGTTTTCACGGTGAAGGTTTTAGGTTCGCTGTTCTGGTGCAAAGGCTGTGAGTTCGAACCGCCCGCAGCACAACGCTGGAGTGTGAAGAGCTGGCAGCCGAGGTGCATCTTCTTCATGTCAGCATTTATCGAGCTGCACATTTCTGCTGCCCATTTTAACTTTTAACACGTTGGCACACGCACATCTGCAACTTCCCTCACTTCTGGTTTCAAGTTCATCTTCAGCTACGCCTGTGTATCTGCCAGCTCCATTCATCCGGCATAATGGGCCGGAATATATTATCAAAAAAGTTGGCAGAAACTGTCTATCCGCTTTAGTTTTTGTTTTTCTGGAGGGATTATTTGAGGTGTTCTTATCACCGCTGCATCACGCCTGCTGTCTCTCCTGACAGGCAGAGGGCAGCAGTGCTCTACTGGATATCTTCCAACAATCGCTTCTTGATGCACAGAGCCGCTGTGCAACATTAAGCCCTTGATTGAAATGATTTGACCCGTCTATTTGGCGGAGGGCATGCAGCGTGCGCGCGAGGCTGCCGTCTGAAGCCGGTACAGATGAAAGACCGGAGCAAATCATCAGATGGACAGATTTGATTCTGCAGCGTGTGGGAGCATCTAAAGTAGGTTATCACTGCCATAGAAAGTGACAGGCCTGTTATGATTCAAGGCCGATGATAAATGAAATCAAGTGGAGAGTCCTGCTGAGACTTGTAACCCAGCGATGATTGAAACGGCCTGCTGGTTGTGGCAGCCGTGTATCAGCTGACAAAACAACAAACATATCTGTCTGTCACATTCGCTGACAGCTCACTTTGGATTTTCTCATGTCGGAAGCATGGGTGGAGTGATTTACTGCACAAAGAGCTGGAGAGACTCTTCAGAAGACGCCTTTGCAGACAGACAGGGCTTGATTCTGCCAACAAAATCCAAGTGCTGTAATGAATTCCTAAAACTGGACAGCGTTTTCTCTGTGCACAACCAGATTGGTAGCTTCTCCTTTAGGGTTAACGTTACAAAATCATTTGACAGAACATGGAGGCAGCTGATGCTGTGTGATTTACTCGTTGATTCAAACCGCATCTTGCACAACCAGCGAGAGGAGACAAAAAGAGCAGGAAGGGTCACGACATCCAGGAAGCAACAGTGATCGTTTACGTCCTGCTGCTTTCACGATACATCGGTGTCTGCTGAGGCTAATTACGTCTCCACTCAGATCCTGGTCAAGTCGGAGACGCTGTGGAGTTGTGTTTTATTTACGTTTCACATCATGAGTTGCACTTGAGGAGGTCCGTGGCTCTATGTAGATATTGTGACTGACACAGGATGGATATGCAGAGTCAGGCGGGTTAAGCTCTCCACTCAGAGCCAGTTTGCGTTGAGCAGCTTGTGTTCGAACTCTGGAGTGTTTACTCCTTCAGTTTGGTTTGTTTGGGCAGGTGAGAGCGAAGCTTTTGGAACCTGCCAACAGATAACTGGAACAAAAATGTGTCTCATTCCTGTTCCAAGAGAGCTGCGATGCAGTTTGTTCGGGGTACAACAACCTAGCGAGGGGAAACTACAAAAATGTGGAATATGCCAAGATGAACCGATCCGGATCAAGAGGCAAGGTTTCCTTTTAGATGTGTGGAAGTGTCACATTGTAAACATAACATAAAATACTACACTTGGCACAAACGCTGACTTTCCTCCCAACATAAACCAATCAGAAACAAAAGATATTTAGAATGTTACAGAGAATAACAATGAATCAATGTCACATACAAGGAGACTTTGCTCAAATAATCCAAGATCTGAACACGAGCAGTAATTAAAATATGAAACATGACAGCTTTGTGTGTTTGGCAAAATATCATGTAAGGAAGGGATTAAAGAAGGCTTAATACAGCAAGGAACCAAAGCTGATCAAAAAAAACCTCACAGTTTGTCTTAAACAAATTAGAAGCACAGTGTTCGTGTTTCTGGATGAAATGAGAGGTGATGTTAGATATGAGACACGTTCTCCTGTCCCAGCGCTCTGTCTGCCTTTTTTAACATGTTTAATTGATAGCGAGGGTGTATTCATGCTTTTTAGTGAAGGTGTCATCTGTGGGGTTGAAACTATCTCACCAAGACGTTTCACTGTCAGTGTGACTGCGTTGGGAGAATGGTTTGTTCTGACGCTTAAAAGCTGCAGATATCTTTGGTTTACAAGATTTAATTTAGCTTCATCGAGGGAGAATAAATGAAGAGAATCTGACGGTGGTGTGTTTTTGAATTTGTTCTAAAATGAATGCAGAAGTGTGCAGAATGAATCCACACATTGCTGCCTGATCCTTGTCACTTCCTCTTTATATCCACTATTGCATGTTTATTTTCTCTTTCCTGTGGTTTGTCCTTTACCCTCCCAGTCCAAGCGGACGTCTGCCTGCCCTGAGCCTGGTTCTGCTGCCCGTCTCTTTCTGGTAAAAGGGAATTCTGCCTCTTCACTGTTCTGCCAACATGCTTGCTCAAAGGAAATATTTGGATTTGTTGGGTTTTTGTATGAGCGTGTAGGGTCAGTTTGCTTTACAATCAGTCATGCTATTCATCTTTAAATCTCACTTAAACTGGAAACGCTCCTGTAAAAAAGCAGCCTGAAGATGTTGTTTTCAGTCGAAATCTGCCAACAGCAGTTGTCATGACAGCTGCTAAAACAAATAGCTGCCACCAATTAGAAAACTCCTGCTACCTGCAACAAAGACCCGACTGTTTAAAGACTACAGAGAATTAAAGGCGGTGCATGTGAGACCTTTAACTTGCACATGCCATGTAAGAACCACAGGCTTCAGGGTTTCCAAAACATGTGCTGACTGATTAGGACTTCACCTTAGGAATTGGGTAAACAGGACACAACAGGCTGCAGTGCATTAGCTCTGATTCTCGGGGAAGGGGTCTATAAAATCAACTAGCCAATCAAAGGTAAACGACATTATTATGGTGCATTAACATCATCGTCTGCTATAAGTCTTCCCCACTGGCACAGAGGGAGAGGGGCGTCATGAACGGGCACATAGCCAAACTCCTCCGGGGGACAAAACATCTGAGATAGATGGAGGTTGGAAACAACAGATAATGCAAAAATATTTCAACTACCATAAATCTTTCTCTTGAAGCACTGCCGCGATAGGCCTATTATTCTGGAGACCGTATCGGTGATAACACTTGTGGCACTCCGGCAATATTTTCCTTCCAATCTTCTGTGAACTTTTCCTGCTGCGGTTGAGTGAAATCATGGATTTTTTGTTGCAATTTTCTTATCGTTAGCTTTTTTTTTTTTTCTCCCACCGAGGCTCGCGGGCCGACTCAGGTGGCGAGTCGGACGCAGAGGAGGAAATCTCCCGGGTTATTAAACGACAAGTGTGGAAACGGAGGGGAGCAGGTTGTCATTGCCGTCGAATGTCATTACGTTTTGATCGCCTTCGAGTGTTTTCCAGACACATGCGCGCCACTTAAATTGATAGCTTTCCAATGAACATCTACGGCTGGCCACCCAATTTGCAGTTCCACGGGAGGCGGTACAGTAGGCTGATTTCCATTTCAGTAGAATCACTTGCAGCATGAGAAAAGGAGATTTTCAGTGACTACAGTGTATAAATTGCACACAGGAGGACGGCCGAGCTGTTCTCCTTTTTCTCAGCCTAGTGAGCGATTAAGTGGGTGATTAGTCATTATCACGCTACACAGATGATGTCATCAAACTAACATAGGGGTGTGACAAAGGGGCCGCTGTAAAAGGGCAGGTTTGTCAAAGGGATCCATCATAAGCACGAGGTCAAACCGTACCAAGCATGTCTGGCACGGGGAAGAAAGTAATAAAGCTGCTGCTGCCACATCTGGGAGCTGAGGAAGAAGAATCAACTCAGGACAAAGCGTGTGGAAAGATCCCGGCCATTTAAATAAACAGTCGGCTTATTGCAGAACCACAAACCCGATTGTTCAAAGGCGGCTCATGTCCACTAAAGGCCCGCGCGTTGGGACCGCTGCTTCATGGGATTTTTCTTTCTAATTTAGAAAGTCGTGCTAGTCATTCATCGTGCCTTAATTGTGCAAGCAACAGTAAACAGCGACAACCTTTTAACAGCTATCATAGCCTAAGCACGCTCAATGTAAATCTCATTATTTTTGCCTGATTATTTTATTTGTAATGGCAACGACATAAATCAAGCTCGCCACTCGCCTCGAGTGGAGTCAGGTCAAGTTATTTCGGCGAGCCTTCATCCCGTGCTTGTCACCCGCAGCTCTTCATAGTTGCAGCTAATTAATAATCATCAAAAATCAGAACGTTTCGCGACAGGATTGCAATGCAGCAAAGCGTTTCAAAGTGCTGCGAAGGCTTCCCCCCCAAAGACTTTGTTCCTTCCAGTAAACTGACGTCTAAGAGAGAGATGGTTTTCCATCTTACACTGCAGCGCTGTAATCATCAGTCTTAAAGTTGGCGTGGTTGTTTGCGATAAGAGAGGCTAATGGCTTGTGTTCTATATAATGGCTTGTTTGTACAGAGCAGACTGTATACAGCTCATATTTTAATTATATTAATATTTTAGTTCACTCTTAGCCCTTGATTGGATTTAAAAGCAAAGTAGGAAAAGAAAACACACAGCCTGAGCTTTGCAACATGATCCTGAAGCAGCGTGAGTTTCATTTTGGTCCGTGACTGCCAGTGTTTTCTCTCAGCATGTAAAGCTTCAGTGTCATTTCTTTTCTGAGGACAGATCAGCCATATGCAAGTTTACCTTTTTTCGTCTCTGTACCATTCGAACTCTGGTGTGGGCACAGCGGTGGCGTCGCACTGCAGCGTCCCCATGCGACCCACCGGAGTCTCCGAGCTCTGGGTTTTCTTTATTGTCGGAGGGTCTGCGGAGTCACACGGAAATAAGTCACACATGTTAAAACCGACAACCAAGGCAGCCCTCGTGTTTGGGCTAATTTGGGCATGAAAGTGTTTGCTGAGACACGACAGGCAAAAAAAAAACATTTTCATGTTGTGGTCAATTTTGAGATTTTGCTTCCAGAGCATGTCTTCGACTGGTGGAACACGTCCAACATGCACATTTAGGGGTTTATTTTTACCACATTATGCAAATTGGTGCATGTTTAATGAGATAATGGCTCGTCTGCAACATTTCAGGAAATCTGTGACACAAAAAGTAAATAAAAATGTGCAGAATTTTACAATAGATAACTTCAGAGGCCATTTTCCCCCAATTTGTTTTTTCTCTTTTCCTCGTACTCTGAGCCAGAAATCTACACCAAACTTTTCACTTTTATTTCTCTCTATATTCTGAAGAGTTTTACAGAGAGGCTTGTTCATATATCAGTCGTAGACTATTGAACATTTTACTCCTAGAAAGTGGTGAAAATGGATTTAGTCTGGCTGTTGACAGTCTTATCTGAAATATGTGATAGAAGTATATAAAAGATATTCAAAATCCCTAAACTTTTAAAGTAGATTTCAAGTTCAAACTTCAGTTCTGGTAATGCAAGTAAACTGGGGGATGTTTTTTAGAAATATAAAAACCAATTTGCACATTTGAACAATCTCAGAAAACTTATTGCAAACAACAAACTGGGGACGTTTCATGTTGATGTCCGTTAGCTTAAAACATTAGTCACAGATAGCGTGCAATAATAAAACACAATAGTTCTTCGAAATACTTTTCAGAAAAGCAAGTTAGTCCTATAGCGTCACCCATGTCTGAATAATATCATTGATAGAAGCTTGAAGCAGAGAAAATGCCTTTTTTACATGATGACTAATCCTCTGTATCGAACCTTAGAGATAAAACCAAGTAAACACAAGTATACGAGATAAGCCGCCACATGCTAAAGTGTAGAATCTCATTTCACTTTCACCCTTGCAGCATCAAGAACCAAGGTAACATAGATTATCTGGGGCCTGACATTAAAAATAAATGAGCGCAAAATATTAAAATTCATCAGGTTTGTCAGCATTCATCACACAAGTCCTACAAACATCCCAGTGGCCAGACGTACGTCCCCAGTGGATTAATACCCGTTTTCCATTTTAGGATTAAACACTAAGAAATGGTTTAATGTAGAAATCTTTATCATTTCATTCAGGCACTCAGACTTGGCTAAAGTACGCTTTGGGCAAACAGCCATACGTGATTTGTTCAGATCAAAGAGAATTCTATAACTCCTCTGGGGGCAGTTGGTTTGTGATGTGTTTCATGAGCTGTTCATCAATCCTGAACAAGCCAACATCTGTAAAACACTCAGCAGATCTAACACGGAGGCCCGACGAGAGGTAATTAGGTGATCTCGTTTTAAATTCCAAGTGTCTCTTAAAGCGATGATGTGGTACGTGAGCATTACCATAGAAACGACAGCTGCAATCAAAGTTAAAGATCTTCCTCCGTCCTACCTGGATTCATCTCGAGAAGACGAAAGAGTCCTTCAAAACTTTCAAGATACACCCTTGACTCCCTGCCACGCTGTGTTCTACCTGCTCCTACTCTTAACTCCGTTCTTGACTTTTATAGGCTTTCCTGTTGAGTGTATCATCTTGTGAAATGTCTGACATTAAATGTGGCGAGAATATTGATTGGTTTTGAATAAAGCATGCGCTGCAGTCCGTTGTTACTTACAGTTGACAACCACATTGACGTATTTGACATCGGGCGTGGCGACGTCGTTGCTGGCCTTGCATTCGTAACGACCCGCCTGGTTTCGCGTGATACCTATAATGTCCAGGTATTCTTCTCCGTCCAGCGGCTCCGCTGCAGAGAGACAGAAAGACAAAGGAGGTGAGGGATTGACTGAAGGAGGGACAAAGCGAGTACAGACAGGAGGAGGGCTACAGCGGAGGGGGAACTGACTAAATGATGGATTTCCGCTGGATTTTCTGGAGAACAGCAATAAATAATCAAACTTCAAACGGAGCAGCTCAGTTCTTGGGTACATTGATGCCTCTCTTACACTGGTCTGTTCAAATAAAAAACACCTGCCGAAACCTAAAGCTCACTGATTAACATCCTAAGAACTCGAGGAGAAGACAACGGGACGTTTCTTCTCTAGTTCCTGAAGATGTTCCACCTCTCATCTAAGAGGTTTCTGAGATCTTAAGACCTAATAAGTGGTGTACAGACCACCTCCTCTGTTTGGAGACGGCCGTTCCACTTTAAACCATCTGTCTTCCCTGTGCAGAATGAAAACATCGCTGTCCTCAAAGGAGAGTCCTTCATCGTTTAGATCAGGGGTGTCCAATCCTGGTCCTCGAGGGCCGCAATCCTGCAAGTTTTAGATGTTTCCCTCTTTCTGATTCAATCGATCAGCTCATCATCAAGCTCTGCAGAAGCCTGATAACGATCCTGATCATTTGAATCAGGTGTGTTGGAAGAAGGAAACATCTAAAACATGCAGGATTGCGGCCCTTGAGGACCGGACACCCCTGGTTTAGATGGACAGCTGAGTCTTGCCCTGAGGATCTGGATCTCCTGTGTCGAGCCTTGTGTTGGTAGAGCTGTGGTTTAGTCTCCCCTGTCTATAGGTCTGTGCACTCCTTGCTGCATTGAACTGCATGTACAACACTGCTCAGCTTGTGTGTGGCTGTTTTATCCTTGCTGGGTCTGACGTGCACTGGTATCCTATCCAAAACAGAAAAGGTAGTCCACAACAATATTTATTAGAACGTAGTCTTCAGATCTCTCCCCTGAGAAAATGTAATCACCATGAACATCTTGAGTCAACCCTGACCTGGCAGCTTCACGACCATCACAGCTCCAAGCGTGTGAGCCACGTGTCGTTAACGGGCTGTTAGCCTCGTGAGTTGGGGGTTACAGTATGTATCTGAAAGTCCCCATCAGTTAGTCAGAGCCGGACAGGCCTCTTAGATGTCGGGTGAAAGAGAAACCCAGCTGCTTTTTAGGGAAGTTCTTAGGATTACCGTGACCCTACGCAGACACCAATTAGCACGTTGATTTATGTAAAAGCGGTGTGCGAGGGTTCAGTGCTGGACCGTGACTTTGATGAGGGCAGTGTGGGAGGCTTCGGCTTCCATTCAAGACATAGTCGGCAAAAACCACCGCCTGGAACCACATTTCATACGTCTACTGTACATACTGTTGTGACACAACTTATTCCTGCCACCTGCGTCCAACCCTCCTGGTAGTGCCTTGATGTGTTTGCTGAGTTGGATGTGTGGTTCTGGAAGATTCTGGCGAAAGGAGCGTCCAGTCTGGTGCACCGATCCGCTTTCCATTGTGCTTTTTGTTATTGTTTTCATCTAATAGAAGGTATAGTTGTAGAGAACACAGTCCACATGTATTCCCTTTACTCTTGACTGGACCAGGCTTAGACTTAAGTACATAGCCATCAAACACACTCCCTTGTTTAGCGATTTAGAAGCAGCGGTTCTGCCTCGACTGTCTTTTGGGGTTTTGTTTAAGTAAGGGCAGGTAATAATGATTCATTATTTAGCGTTTTCTGGTTTCTTCAGGGAAGGACAGTTGTAGCTGTTATCTTAAGTGTCCTCTTTTGGGTTGGTTTGCTTATTTCTTTGATTTGAACAGCCTCCCCCCAGCCCTTCTCCCTCGTCTCCCTGCTTTTGTTTGTGTCAGTCGCCAAGGTTCCTCATTAATGAATAACTTTATTTCACCAAAACCACTTGGTTCTATTTCTTCCACTAATGAGCCGGGCGGTAAACAGCGAGCGGCGCGTTACTCAGACTGTAAGCAGGTTCACAAAGCGCCTCATTTTAACCTTGATGCTTTTATGCCTTTTTGCCAGAATTGTACACAGATGTATATTTATTATGTGTGTATTGAAAAACAACAAAAAATAAAATTGTCAGTGTTTCAATGATACACTTTTTGTCCTCCTCCTGCTTTATGTTTTTGCCACCGGTGTCAGTGAAACGGCCAATCGCGTTCACACTTAAGATATGCTCAGTGCAGAGAAATGTATGTTATTTCTGTTCAGTGGTTGAAAAGCTGTATTTCAGTTTATGACGGTATCAGAAGTGGGTGTGTTGACGCAGCAACAGCAGCTCATACGACATGCTGTTTGTGCTTACAGCCGCTCTAAAAGGCCACGCTTGTATAACACACTTATGGCGAGTGCAGTCGACAGTTTGAGAGACAAGTCCAAACCCTAAACCCCCTCCCAGGCCAAAACCGTACATGTGGGTCTATGGGGGCGCCTGCAGCACAGTGACACCTTGTATTTCTGCGAGACCTGCTTTCAACGACGGGCTCAATAAACAAAGCGGCAATTAGAATTAGAGCCGCTTCCGCATTCATATTCATCGAGAGAAGGAACTCAAATTCACAGTTAGGTCATGCCGAAGAAGTCGGACTGAATCGCTCAGACGGGCTCTTCAGCAGAAAGCGCATTTGATATTCAGCGACTTGTTAGGCCGACTTAAATTAGTTGCTTTGTCTGAAAGCTTCAATTAGCAGAGGAATGATGTCTGCAAATGTCAGACAAAACATCTGAACAGAGTGCAAAAAAAAAAAAGCCACAGAGACTATCAGACAGATATCTGGCTAATTGTTTAATGAGCAATGCTGCTAATTACCCATGCAACAAACACAGTGGATCTCATTCGGAAAGATCTGCCTATTACAGATCTATGGGAGGAGGGTCAGGAGGGGAGATGACACATTCTGTCATTTGCTGCCGTGTTAACTGCACTTCATCTTTCATCATGCCTGAAAAAAACCCAGCAGAGCGAAGATATTAATATTTGCGATATATTAATATCTATTAGATGCGTGACATTTAATTGAGTTAATTACTCGGTGTTTTTGTGCTACACAATGATAAAGTGTTCTTTTGACTTGAGCATCCATTCTGCATATATTTCAATCTAATGGAAAATGATTTTTATTTTTTTATTTTTTTGAAAACTGCAGTAACTGAGGAATGATCTCCTGGTAGCCAGCGTGCCAGCGGTGCAGATCTCAGGGTATTTCTCAAAAAGACACAATTATCTGCACTGAATGAGAAGGGGACTCTCCAAGGACCCCGCAAATGTAATAACTTCTATAACATCGACTGATACTTCCCTTAATCTACGAAAATAAGGAATGATGGAATCTTGGCGGTGAAAATAAATTGCACAGAGGGGATCTCTGGGGTGAGAGAGAGAAAACGCGCTGTTTGTAGCAACACTAAATGTCAGTAGTCTCGGCTGTGGGCAAGTTCGTGTTCATGTTTCAACTAAGGAGCTGCAGGCTTCGGGAAACCAAAGCAAAACGCCCCGAGAAGTGAACCGGCAACTTCAGGGACTCAATAGAAAAACAGCGGTTCTGCTTTGGCGAGCACACATAAACACCGTGTCATTTTATGCCGTAAAAACTCAATAACAACCCAAAACCGACAGTCTGACTTTTTACACATGCCCTCAGATGTCGATAAAGCAGGGCGGTCTCAGTGTTTGAGGAGAAAAAAAAAGCTAAGCCAAATGATCAAATCAGCTGCGTGATGGAGATGGAGGTCAGCTGATTCAGTATTACTCCATGTTGATTGAAAGATCAGTGGGATCATGATCAAAGTCTAAAGCACATCATATTCAGCTCTGCCTGGACAAACCGCCAGAGTAACGCAATTGGAGAGGTATGATTGAAAATCTGTTGCCATGGAAATTCTATTGAAGCTCAATCTCTTCTTCACTACTTTGGTTTGGTGCTGGATAAAGAGAGAGAGAGAGAGAGAGAACCAGGTGACTGCAAAGATCAAAGAACAGAGAACAGAAAAAGAGAGGAGAGGAGAGAATTTAAATTAGAGACGAGTGCGGCTCGACTAGTTGTTAAAGCGTAACAATTAGCTGTCAGGAGTCTCACCTGGTCCGCAGAAAGAGCGACTCAATTATGAGGAATGAAAGGAACGAGACGTAGTGTGTAAGGAAACAATTACTCACAATGCAACATTTCACGCGTCTTTGTCTGCGCACACGGGAGAATACGGCTTCCTGCGTGTGCTTCACGTGTTATCTGTTTAATGAAGCGTAATAAAGATGGATTGGTTAATCTCGTCTGAAGGGAATTGATTTGAGTGGAGGCGTAATATCTCTCCGCGGTGAGCATGAAGCCGGCGCGCGTGGACCGGGGTGAAGACTGATTTCCTTGAAGGTTTTCAGGGAGCACTGACTGATTCAAAGTGTGCACATTAGAAAAGCCCCATGAATCCTGGCATTACACTTCATTATATCATCACATTTCTATGCTAATCTGGATCGAGGAGGGTGACTGGGTGTCAGAGAGGGAAAAAAAAGAGTATATTAAGTAACACAAGGACAAGGAGTGGGCACACTTTTATAGATAGCTTTTTCCCAAATGGAGCACTTTCTCTGCTGACATCAGGACATAAGGCTGACGTGTTGATGTTAATGTTTACTTTCTTGTTTTAGTGTACTAGCACCTTTCTCAGTCGTCCTAAGTGCAGCTGAGGCTGATGGGTATTTGGTGATAAAGCAAAGTTAGCGGGTGGGTGATGGTCATAGTCACTGCGCGGTGGATCAGCGGTTTGACTCACAACGAGAATGTTCTGGGTTTGAACTTGCTGCTCTTTCTTTGCGTATAGTTTCATGTTCTCTCTGTGGCTGCGTGGGTTTTCTCTGGGTATCTGCCTTCCTCCCACATTACCGGTGGGTTAACTGGTCATTCTGAATCGGCTGCGGGCGTGAATGTGAGCCTGCGTGGTTTATTGTTCTCTTGTGTTCGTCCTGTGATGGACCGGCGACAAGGTGTACATGTGCACCCCAGCTTGTTTCCTTATT